ACAACTTAATTATCCTTCATCTTATAATACTTAAGGTTACCAAAGGTCAAACGATAGTGAACCAAACCTGCACAAGCAAAACAGGCTGACATACTTTTCTAAAGATTTCTACTGACTTGCCCTAAACATTAGGGAATGGCTTCGGAGAATTAAAAATAGACTTAATGAGACAAGTGAAGGCTATTTTTACCAATGCAATATCCAGAGGCCGGTCCCGCTAAAGGTGCGGACAGAAAGGCAAGTAGGGAAGGAGGGATTCTAACTTGACCGCCGAGACTGACGGTGGACTCGTCTGGCACCCCTGAAATTCCTCCCAACTGAATAATGACCTGCCCATAACTTCTCTTCGGGAAACGGTTCCCAGGTTCTGGATCGGAAATGTCCGACTTGGGCCGGCCAGGGCACGTTATTCGCGTCCAGGTCCGAGCCCCGAGAGGGCCGGCGACGACGACCCAGTGCTGCCGCCCTCCGCCGCCTCCTCGATACGTACCAGGCTGGCGGAGCTCGCCGGGCCCCAGCGGCCGGCCCGGGCCTCGGCGGCGGCACCCCCTCCAGCCGCGGGCCCGGGGGCCGCCTTCCCTGCGCCCGAGCAGTGGCCTCGCGGGCCGGTCCCAGGCAACCTCAGGCCGAACGCGGCCGGGCGCAGCCACCAACGCTCCACCAGGCAGCCTAGGCAGCCGGGCACGGAGCGTAACAGGGACCCACGGGCGCGCCCCTTGCCCGGCCGCGCCCCCGGCGCCCATGCGGCGCTGCGAAGGGCCCCCCATGAGCCGCGAGCCACGCGAAAAGCCAGCATGACCCTGCGGCCGCGCCGTGGGGACACAGGCGGCGAGAGCTCAACAGCCTGGGGCACTGGCAAGCCGCCTCTCCATGGAGTCCCCGCAACGTCGGAGAAGCTCAGCAGCCTCCATAGCAGTTTTCAAAACCCAGCACGCTCCGCTTATACAGGTGGCCAGGAGCCGCCAAGGACGGACGCCTTCGCGACGCTTTTGCGACACCGTCGCCCCTGGGCTTCCCAGCGCCCCCGGCGGCAGCGGGAGGCGAGTGTGGTTAGGCAGCTTGGGCTTTCGGGTAGCGGCCGGTGGGCGGTGCTGGCGTCTCTCCGCCCGAGGTCGGGAGCTGAGGGCGGTGGGGTGGGGAGTACAGGAACGAGCTGGGCGGGGTGAAGGCGCGGCCGAGGTGGCCGGAGAGCACTGGAACCATCGCGCGCCCGGGCTTGAGGGCCCCTCCGAGGTGTGCGCGGCCGCTCCGGGGGGGGCGCCCGTGGGAGGTTTAAAGATTAGTGAAGCGTCTGGTGCAGAAGTCATTAAAACAAGTTTCCTGCTCTCTTCCTTTATCCGAGCGTCTCATAAGCCAAAAATATGGGTATTAGAAAATGCCAATAGTGGCAATTACTAATTGTTTACCAGGAAAGTGTTAACTACAGCTAGGCTCTAGTGCATTCTCCCGTTTAACCCTCCAGCAACTCCAGAATAGGTTCCATCATTACTTTTACGTTTACAGATAAGGAAATTTAAGCTTAGAAAAGTTAAGAAACCTGCTTATTAGAGGAATATCCCAAAATAATTAAGAATCTGTTCATCGTTAACCGATTAGTATTCTACATTAATTTTTAATATTGCAATGTCGCAGAACTGTTTTCTTATTGAGTTCTTTGAATGGTTCCTGCCGCCTTGTCACCATCTGTCCCCCCGCCCCTCATCGTGTCTGTGATGACAGACCCACGTTAAAGTTGTTCTTAAACTCTTACTTCAGACAGCTAGGAAAGGAAAAGACCAGATGAATTTGAAAGTCATTGTAGATCTCAGTATTTATCAAAAGAAATCCTTAATTACTTATGCACATGTTTAAATATGTATGTTGAGAGAAAAATTAAACTGTACTAGAAATGTAAAAATAATTTTCTAAAAAAAATAATCCTACTGGAATCATATACCTACAGTTCTCATTCATAGACATTGGAAAATCGTGTCCAGCAGGAGTGGGCGGTATTTCAACCTCTCCTGTCTTTCCAGCCACTGAAGTGTCTTTATTCACTCTTTCCACTTCTTCCTACTTTAAGACAGTTTCTCATTGTTTCTTGGGATTTTTCTTCTCTCTCCTCCACGATGTTCCTGCCGCATCTGCCTGTAATAGTTGGCACTAAGGGCATGGCCTTGCTTTTTTCTTATTGTGGTAATTATTTCCCAATGTATAGTGTTTCAAATCATCATGTTAAATGTATGAAATGTTATATGTCAATTGTAGCTCAATAAAGCTGGAAAAAATTTTAATATAGTAAACTAATATATTTTTTCCTTTTTTATAAATTTTTTTTCCAACGTTTATTTATTTTTGGGACAGAGAGAGACACAGCATGAACGGGGGAGGGGCAGAGAGAGAGGGAGACACAGAATCGGAAACAGGCTCCAGGCTCTGAGCCATCAGCTCAGAACCCGACTCGGGGCTCGAACTCACGGACCGCGAGATCGTGACCTGGCTGAAGTCGGACGCTTCACCC